ATTAAACCCAATACACTGCTCCTAATTCTTATTTGAGGTTAAATTACAAGTGTCCTGAAGACAATATGTACAGTTTTAAATGAAACTCTTCTACAATCTGGCAGGACAGTACATGTAATTACGCCATTTACTAAAAAAAATCTCTTCGTGTATTTGACAGTTCTTAATGAGAGTTTGATGATTTTTCTTAATTTTTTCCCTAATGAAAATTGATCACCCAATCCAGGTTTAATCAAATCTCTTTGCATCCAGTGGTCAGTTTTTCTATCCCCCCCCCCACTCTTGTCACTTTCACACCTGTGACCTTCTCATCACCGATAACTACAGCTCCCCTGAGATCTCAGTTTCATGCATTCTGTTCTCTCCTCTCCTCTTCTGTCAGAGCTTTCCTGTTCCAGAACTTCCACTGCGGGAGCAGTTCATGGAGACTTCCAGTCCTTTCAGCTTGCTCCTTGCTCGCTATGTCTGACACCCCATAGTCTACCCTTTTCACTATCACCACCACCTTGCTTCTCCACACTGGATCCCAACCGTGACCTGGAACTAACTCTCTCGGGCAGGAATGCTGTTTTGCCTCATGCTTGAAAGGCTCATTTCTGTTCATTCATTTTTCAGCTTAACAATCCCCATTTTCAACAAATCTCTCTAACTACCCCTTCCAAAGCAGTCATTTGGTCATTTGAGATGACCATTACACCATCCATTTTCATTCTATGTAAAAAATTTATTCCCAGTAACGTTTTGTCTTGATGATTTGTACTTCAATTATTTCAGTACAATCTGTATAAAAGCAGAGACCTTATCACTTTTATGCATTGAGAAACTGCGCATGACAATAAAGTAACTAATAGATATCTGAAAAGGTAGAATGGAACAGAGGAAAAAAAGAGGAAAAAGAAGGAAAGAAAGCAAAGAAAGGAAAAGAGAGAAGAAAGGATGGGAGGAGAGAAGGGAAAGATGAAGAAATATGTAAAATAAATTAATAAAGTAGCATTTTCTCACATTTTTATCATAAACGTATCAGGAGAATGTGGAAAAATTCTTCCTTCTTTCCTTCCTTCCTTCTCTTTCTTTCTTCTTTCCTTCCTTCCCTGAGAGCTATAACGACAAGGTCAAGAGCATGACTGTGACAGTGGGAGGTAGAAGTGACAGCAAAAAATGGATCATTGGATGCCAAGAGGTTTTACTAAAATGGTACTGCCTGATCAAAATTCATTTAGAAGAATCAGCAAAAAACTGATTAAGAAAGTTCAGGGGCGGGGGATTTAGCTCAGCGGCACAGCGCCTCCCTGGCAAGAGCAAGGTCATGAGTTCCATTCCCGGTACCGGGAAAAAAAACAAAAAACAAAAAAGAAAACAAAAAAAAAGAACAGTTCATTAGCTCGTTTTTCATTTTTGTTTATTTTTCATTTTTGTTATATCCCGCAGAACAGTGACATTATAGAGAATTTTTTTTGTTGTGGCTGATCTATAGCTTCTGATTCTTTTGTGGTGAATATGTATTACCTATGTATCTAAAAAAGTGATAAAATCATTATTTAATGAAACAAAACAAATACTAAATATTGGCTTTAGAATAAAACCCTGCAGTCATTTTTTAAAAACAATAGTCACTATTCTTGTTGTTTGAGATCTTAACTGTTATAAAAATTAACGGACTTCTCTGACTACTTGAAAATTCATGTGTGCGTGTGTGTGTTCCTCCGCAGTCAGGTCTGTCGTATCTGTGGCCTTTATTCCAACCCCTACTTATCACTTCAGGCCAATTTGTATCATTTCCCTGGCCTTCTCAGCATTTGTGACATTTCCAATTCCATCTGCAGATTTAATTAACGCGCTGCTCATTCACTCATCCGCAACACTGATAACAAGGGACATAAAACTGGACGCAGAGCGGGCTCCTGCAACAGCTCCACGCCTCCCACAACTGGACGCCTCCTTCTGCTCTACCTAGTTTTCAAGCCAAACTGATTGAAACTGATTTTGCAAGTAAAATTCACTCAGACACTGCATCAAATGATTTATGAAGTTCATGCAGCCATGTGGTGTCCCATTAATCACAGACACTACAATAATCTATTTGTGTGCAGCAGTCCTCATAAATCGGAATAAAATAAATTCCACAAGCGCATCTTCAGCTTTTGCAACAAAGCACATGGTATTTATTCAGGGCACTATCCACATAATGCAATGTTAGCAGACTTGCAGATTCCTGAGCCTGGTCAAGCAAGTAAAGATATGCATTCATTTACTAATGCATGCCAAACCTAAAGAAATTACTGGGTGTTCATCCGCCAAGTGAGAGGATTTCTTTAGGGCTTAGCTCTCCAATTTTTTATGAAAGCTGATATAAATAAACAGAACAAATGAGGTACAAAAATAAAATCAGTAAGATGCTTTTTTAACAAACAGTCCAGATTACACCTTTAAATAAAATATTGAGCACTGAAGTGTTTTCATCATTCGGAGACTCTTATTTCCATTATACTATGAAACAATTTTGTAAATTCTCTTTTGAGATAGATCTGTGTTTCTCAAACAAAAGTATGTCTTCAGATATAGCAAGTTTACTTCACTTGTAGGTTTTCATTCCTTAAAATAGTTCAAAATTATTGCAATCTATGTCCAGAAAAGACTGTGAATGATCTAGCTAGGTAATAGTAACTTTTTAAAATGTAAATGAAGTTTCTTTTCTTTTTCTAAAAGAGAGATTCATCAATATAAAAATACACCAAAGATAATAAGAAGTTCATGAAGTCCTAATACTCAAAGAGTCTTCATATACCGGTGGATATCTTTTCCAGAATTTTATTTATATGCGATCTTCTTTATAGAGACATAGACAGGAAGATAAATAAAAATTAAATAAATTGAGATAAGCTGAGATCCTACTATAATTATTATTTTGTAACCAGTTTTTAAAAAATCAACAATATATATTTATAAATACAATAAATATAAAAGATCATTTTAATAAGTATACATTTTCATTCCATAGATTTAATCAAAATCCTATTAGAGGATATTTAGTATATTTTCAAATTTTCAACCATAAACAACACAATGCAGTATTTGTGCCCTTGTCTTTAACCTTTTCTTGTTCAAAAAACAGTTCTTAAAGTAAGGAACTGTCTTAGAATAAGAATTTTTTTTCTTAGGATAAATTCTTTGTAAGGTTTTCGTGCTATTGAGAGACACTGACAGAGATAAAAGCCTTTATTGTTGGCACAAGAGGGTTATAAGAGATTACAAGGACCCTCAGAGGAGAGAGCTAAAAAATGAGTTTTTATTAGGTTGGAGTAGGGGTGGAGTTAATATGGGCAGGCGAGGTGTCCTATCTTGAGAAGACTGGGGGTTTGTTGGTGCACGTGCAAAAAAGGAGCAGAAAGTTTAATTTGAGACTAAAAAAATATAAAAGTTAGTCTTGGAGGGACACACTGTCATCTTTGGGATTAAGGCCAGATTGGATTGTCACCATGATGGCCTTAGTAGTTTTATGTGGGCAGAAACTCATCGCTCTTAAAATTGTGATATCTGCATTAAGGGTATGTCCATCTGATATATACTGCCGAACTGCTTTCTAGAAAAAAATGTATGAAGTTGTACTACTACTAACTCATGGAGGTACTAACTATGTTCACATTTGCTAAACCTGGGTGTTATCACTTAAATTTTTATCAATCTGATAGATGCAAAGTGTTTTCTCATTGTTTCACTTCTCATGTTCTTATATCTGGCTGAACCTTTCTTCAAATGTTTATATTTCATATATGTTTATTCTTTTGGGAATTACTTGCTCTTGTGTATTTCCTAA